TTCTGTCTTTGTAATGACCGTTTGCACTCTTCCTGGATGATACCTTTGACATCCTCCCACAACTCATCTGGTCTTCGCTCATTAGTGTTCAAGGTCTCAAACCTGTTCCTGAGATGATTCTGAAATTCAGGTGGTATGAAATAGAAGTCATATATCGATATAGATATAGCTAGAGATAGAGATAGAGATAGAGATAGAGATAGAGATAGAGATAGAGATAGATAGAGATGATAGAGATAGATATATACTTTAAATAAAAAGCAAATTCTTTTGGCTCAATTGACTTGATTGTTTCCCTCAGTCTCTTCCCACTTTAGGAATGTCTATTGCCTTTTCCTATCTTGAGTTTGGAAAAAAGTTGTTTCATTAGTTCCGTTACAAGCTAATGGAATCATACTGGAGTAGTGTTGTAGCATGATGTAGAGCATCGTGCTTTGAAAAAGAAAGGAAGGCCCTGGGAACTCGGTGGTGGCCTTCTTGTCTCTTCCTTTTCTTTTCTTTCAGCTCTGCCTCCTTCCTCTTCTTGTTCTTCTTCTCTGTCATCTTTTGTCTTTGTTTTTGAGTCTCTCATTACCTTCTTCTCTTGCAAAATCAAGGCCACCTCTGTCCCCTTTCCTTCATATTTCTTCTGGGCTTCCAAGCTTTCAGTTGAGGGCAGAACCCTGTGGGTGAAACCTGTAGCACAGTGATTGCTGAGTAATAAATAGAAATCTTCTAGTCGAAAATTTTGGGGTTTTGGAGGGGAGGTTAAATGGATAGGAGATCAAAGTGTAGGGGAAGAGATGCACCAGTGAAACCTTACACATTTACTTTTTATGTAAATAATCTTATTACTTATTTTCAGGGGAGAATTAAGGAGAAGTTACATGAACTCTAATTGTTTGTGGAAGTGGAAAATAGCAGAATGATTAAGAGTGAAAAATCAATGTCATTTATATTATTACTCTTTTTTTTTTGTTTGAGTTAAGATGGACAAATCATATTGATTTTTCATACAATCATTCATAGACTTTTCATTCCTGGCTTGGAAATGAGTAGCATGTCCAGGAGGAGGCCAGATTTGCCGATGAGCTGTGATCAGAAACATTTTTAAGGAAAATAGTGAGGCACAGACATGATTTGTGGCCCTGAAACTGTGACAGCAAGGTCAGGTTTGGTTTAAGACATGGTACTTCTCCTCACATTCCCAGCAGTCCTCCTGCCCAGAGTTGAACTAGAAGTGTGAGGCTACAAATAAAACAGAATGCTTTCTATCATGTCAGAGGTAGGAAGGAGCCATTGAAATTCTCTCATGGAAGCCCTGGGAGCTTGCAGGGACCCTCACCTGTGTTCTGTGACAGCTGCCACGAGCCCCTTCTGTAAACATGGGGGCCTGTGCTGGACTACTGGTTCCCTCTTTGTTGTGGGCAAAGACTGGGGTTTGTTAGGTTGAGGCACAGAGAGGCTGTGGAGTCTGGGGGAAGACTTCTTGGTGACCTTTGGAGTCCTCTCCCATTTTCTGTCTTTGCAGAGATTTGGAAGTACAGCACATCCAGGAAGATACCCACCATCCTTGGATGGGCAAAACCTACTGTCTAAGATCCACAAGTCGTGGTCATACAGGAAGCAAAGTCCACTTTTTTTCTTGACACCATTCCAAAACCAAGTTTGATATCTCCCAAAAAATGTCATTGGTATCATTGGGCACAAAGTCAAAACAAAAGATGTTTCCCCCAAATCGACAGGCAGTTGTGCGCTCCATGCACCTCACCACCTCACCTCTGAACCACCAGTCTACCAGCAGCATCCCGCAACGAGAGGATGAGAAGCAGGCAAGCACAAAGGTAAGTTAGATGTAGGCATTCAGAAAAGGCATGATCTAGCCACCAGCCAGATGAGCTCAGAGGCCAGTCACCAGTGTGTTAAAAAACCACTAACAATTTGCTGGTTGCCTCCCAACTTCAGTGCTCAGCTCTGTCCTCTAGCTCTTCTGGTCACCTCCGACCAGCACCAGGAACACACACAGTCCCTGCCGCAGCAGCACTGGACCTCTGAGAATTGGACCTGGGGTCTTCTTTTCCATCTTGTCAAGTCAAAGTCTAGGGTCATGAGGAAAGACATCCTTACACTGAGTGGAGCTATGCTTTCCTTACCCAGAGAAGAGCAAGATCAGAGCCAGTCGTGGGTGCAGGTCATCAAGGCCAATGAGTCACTTTTTAGAGCCAATGCAGACCTCGTGCCCTGCATGTCCTTCTTGTCTTGCCCCTGAGGGACCCCATTTCCTCCATGCCAGCAATTAATATAGCAGTGGGACTTATCAGGTGTCATATGATACATATCATATGTAGAGCAAAGATGTGCTCATTAACCTAAAAGAGGAAGGCGTTTCTCTTCTAAGGAAGAGTAAGAAACCAGCATAGAGGGAGGCTCAGTTCCCAGCCTCCACTATCAGGAAATGTTTGGGTCTCAAGCCTTCCAATTAGGAGGTCTGGGTAACAAACAGGTCCAAGGCTGTGGCTCTCAGTACAACTGTACCATTATAATTCCCAATAAATCTTCAAGGGCTCCTTCCTAGAAGCTTTTTCCACTTTCAGTCCCTCCTCTGGGAGACACTTCTGTCTCCATTCCAGCCAAATGTCTGCTTGTCCTGAGGACACCACCAGTATGAACAGAGTTCAGGCCCTCTTTCCGTAGGCACATTCTGGTCTCCTTTTTCCCAGCCCTAATCTGCAATTTGACGTAAAAAATTTTTAAAAAGCCAAACCAGCTGCTATTAAGTCAATTCCAACTCGTGGCGACTCCATGAGTATTAAGAACCGTGGTCTCCATGAGGTCAAGGCTGTGAGCTTTTAGGAGCACGTAAATAGACCTTTCTTCAAAGGCCACTCTGGGTGAGTCTGAACTGGCAGCATTTTGATTAGCAGTGAAGAGCTTAACCATTTTCACCACCCACCATTTATAGACGCACAGATTCTGACACCAGCTGCAGACAAGGGTAGGGACAAACCCCAGCCTAGAACCAGGGCAGTAAGGTCTGTCCGCCTTGTGTAGGAAAGCAGCCTGAGCAGCCAGTACCGGGAGAAGGTGCGGCCCTGCATCGACCTCATCGACTCCCTGCGGGCCCTGGGCGTGGAGCAGGACCTGGAGCTGCCCGCCATCGCTGTCATTGGGGACCAGAGCTCTGGCAAGAGCTCCGTGCTGGAGGCTCTATCTGGTGTCGCTCTGCCCAGGGGCAGCGGTAAGCAATACTGATCAGTAACAAGTGGCATCAAACTAAACTACAAGTACCAACCAGTCTCAGAGGGAGGTCACTGGGAGGGGTCCTAGGAGAGCTGCCCCTCCACGTCATGGACAGCTTAGACTCAGAAGTGCATGAGGGCAGGGGTGGGGGCCTGGGCATCCTGCTCTGCCTTCTATTCTTTCCCTTATTGTTCACCTCTAAGCAACCATCACTCCCTATGTAAATCAAGTTCCCAGAAAAAACCTGGTGGTTTCTTTTCAGTGGTCTTTACCAGAACCCTGGCTCCTGGGTGGTGGTGCATACACCATTCATGGACTTCACCACTTCAAAAAGCCATGATGGCCTGAGGGTCCCAAACCCCAGAGTCTCAACTCACCTGTCCTATCAGATGGTCTTACTCCCATCTTACTCCCCTTCAGCAAACCCCCTTCCCAAAGGACTCCCAGCTTCTCCCCTGAACTGGTGCTCTCACAATGCCTCCCTCCGATCCACAGTGCAGGGTGCACAGGAGTGGGGTGCTCAGGTTCATGCCTTGCTGTTGCATATTTTCATTCTCTCCTCTTCCTGTAGTTGCTCACTTGGATCCCAATCCAGATCTCCCTGCACTGACTGTGGAGCCTACAAAGTACCAGGAAGTGCAGGCACAGCCGAGGGTAGGGCGGGTGCTTTTAACAGGAAACTTATGTAACATTTGGTAAAATGTCTCTAAGGTATTGTCACCCGGTGTCCACTGGTGCTGAAACTGAAAAGGCAGTCTTGCGTGTGGAGTGGAAAGCTCAGTTATCGAAACGCAGAATTCTACCTCCAGCACCCTGAGGAGGTGGGGAAGTTAATAATGCAAGGTATGGCCCCGAAGGTTTCTCCTGCCTGCATCCATCAGGTGGCTGGTTTCTCCTCCTGAAGACTACCTCCTTCTACCGTTCTTCATTGTATTAATTAACCCCGGGGGTTGGGGGTATTGTTCAATCTCCCAAATGTCCCCCTTTCCTGTGTGGTAAAGTCCCTGGGCGATGCAGTTAAGGTGTTCAGCTGCTAACCAAAAGGTAGGTTGGTGAAGTCCACCCAGAGGGAAGAAAAGCCCGACAATCTACTTGAAAAAATAAGCTACTGAAAGCCCTGTGGAGCGTAGTTCTACTGTGACACCCATGGAGTCACCGTAAGTCAGCATTAACTATATGACAACTGATTTGAGTTCCTTCTCTGAAACATGACTGCTTTGTCTAGGTCACCTCCATTGTCCCTCCAGGCCCTTGTCCAGTTTCATTCTCATGGGGTCAACTCCCAGCTGAACCTCCTACATATACTTGCAGGTTAAAATCTGGCCCCCATTCCCAGGGCCTCATCCTGTTCACACTCCCCTTCCATGATCTGGGTCCCAACCTGCCAGGCTGATTTCCACTTCACAAAGGATTGTGCCCCTTCTTCCTTCTATAGTTTTTCCATGTTCTGATCTCTCTACCTAGTACAATTTCATTACCTATACAATTGTCTGATTACTACCTATCCTTAAGAGTCTTGGTTTAATGTTTCCTCCTCCTCCAGGAAGTCTTCCTGGACAGATCAAACCCTAACCCTGACTAGACACAGCTATCTTGGCTGTCACTTATCTTCCTACTTTATTGCTCTAACTGTGGCCTCATAGCCACATCCCCAGGAAACTTCTCTCAAAGATGGACATTATCCACTTGTACTTCTTGGAAACATAGCTAACATCTGGCTTTGAAACAAAGTTTACCAAGATTTAAGATGATTAATAGGAAACCTTAGAATAACAATAGAATTTAAAAGAAAAAGATCCATTGCTCCTGCAATACACCCTTATACCCCATGGGGGTGATCACTTTCTCATCCTTCCTATCAGATCCCTGCTCTCGTCATCTCTTTGACAAAAAACAAAACATAAAACAACACACACACACAAATCCAAACTGCTATGGTGTTCATTTCAACTCATGACAACTATTATGAGAGAATAGACCTGCTCCATGGATGGGGATTTCGTTTTGGCTGTTAACTTTGCAGAAGGAAAGCGCCAGGCTTTTCCTGTGCAGAACTGCCAGATGGGTGTGAAGCACCAATCTTTTGGCTCAGAGTTAAAGCTAGCCACCTGAGGGCATGATCTCAGCCAAGAAGAGCAAAATAAGCAAAAACAATGGCTAAGAATCTCCAGAGCTATGCACTCTGAGTCCTGTGGAGATGGGCTTTTTGAATTATTAAATAGCAAACTCAGTATCAGGGCAGAGACATTTGATTGCCTTCCTCAGCTTGATGCTTCCCTGGCAACCTTGGCTGTGTTGAGGACATCTTGAAGTTCTTTCCAATACAGAGGCTAATTAAAAGACTTGATGCTATCAAGGAGCTGACCCTCCAGCTGGTTTTCAGAGGCTGTAACACAGGGAAGGCGACCACCAACCTTCCTCCCATGCAGCTGCTGATGGATGTGAAATTGCCTGAGAGGTTCTGCCTTGGGTTAGCAGTACAACTATAAAGATTATGCCCCCAGAGACCCCTAATAGAGATAACCTACCCCTCATTCTAGTTCTCACTCCTGGCATAGAAGGGTGGACTGAGGCTCTCAGTTGACGCATTTCTTAAGTTCAAGCTTTCAAGAATCTGCACTCTGGCAGTGCCCGTGTGGGGACAGAACAGGAAAGCTTCATGCACTCTGTAACCTGAGCTCCTAGCCCCAGGTCTGAGCTTAGGAAAGGTTCCATGTCCCAAGGAATAATGAATGAACCAGAGCCAAACACTTTTGGGATATCAGGTCAAGCTCCCATCCACCGCTGGTGGGAGTGCAACTGGAAAGCTGTGTGGTAGTATGTATGGAAGCAGATGTGCACACTCTACGACCAGATGCCCAGCTCTTGAGTATACTCTCAATCATGTGTCCCCTGGGAGACAGGTGCTAGAACGTTCACAGCAGCACCACATATTTAATTACCCAAAGTCCACCAGCAGTAGCTTGTGCATTATTTTATGTAGTCTACTGCAGGTCTCAATGCGTCCTTCTGGCCCAATCAGAGGATCTGTCCAAATAGAAGAAGTTGTACTCCATAGATACATAGCCTCTGACTCCCCATATGGCATCTCAGGGGTGCTTATGATATGACGGGTAGTTTCCTCTGGAGGGAGCCATTCAAGGAAAAGTAAGGAGGAGGCCAGGTCTTTTATGACTTAAGTCACACGGTGTCACTTCCAGGTCACTCTATCCATTAGAAGCAAGTGTTTATGTTTAGTCCATACCGAAGGGAGGAAAATTGGGCTCTGCTTTTTAGAGGAAAGGGTTTTAAAGAGCATGTGGGCATATTTTTAAAACACTAGGACACCGTTGGGAAATAGTGGGAAAAGAGAGAGTACCCATCTGCAATCCACCATTAAGATATGAGTATATTTCTTCTACTTTTTTTGAGAGGATGCAAGAGTGGCCACCCATATGTATACAACCCAGGTGGTACAAGCTAATTGTTGGGATGCTACCAAAAGGTTGACAGTTCAAATACAACCTGTATGTCACCCAGGTAAGACTAATTAAGCATTAGGATGCTAACCAAAAGGTTGACAGATAAAGCCATCAAACCACTTTGTAAGAGAAAAATGAGGCAATCTGTAGTCATAAAAACTACAACCTTGGAAGCCCTATGGGACATTTCTACACTGTGCTATAGGGTTGAGTAGTGCTTTGAGTAGAAATCAACTCTATGGCAGTGGGTTCTCAAGTAATTTCATCTCTCCTGATCATTAATTTTTATTTTAATTTTGATTTTTCTCCCCTTTGCCTCCATAGCCCAGAATGACATTGCTGGCTGTGGTGTGGGTATTAGCCACGAGCTCATCAATCTGGAGATCACCTCCCGAGAGGTTCCGGACCTGACCCTCATTGACCTCCCTGGCATCACTAGGGTGGCCGTGGGAAATCAGCCTCAGGACATTGGACGGAAGGTGAGTCTTTCTAAACCTCGGGATCAGGCCAAATGGAAATTAGGGAGATTGCAAACTCTCCACCTGACGCCGCATCAAGGGCTCCCAGGCACTTCATCCATTCTCTCTCCAAGTGATCAGAGGAGGGTTGGGTCAGGATAATACCAGTGCCAGGAGCTCACACTGAGTTTCTGACTTGGGCCTGTCGGTTATGTGAGTAGCAGAACCAGCATTCATGGAAACTCATGGAGCCATGAGTTGGGGTTAGCCTCAATTAGTTCAACTGCAGGCGGACAGGCCTAGTGGTATGGAGTTGCACTGCCAACCCAGAGGTTGTTGTTGTTGTTGTTATGTGCTGTCGAGTCGTTTCCGACTCATAGTGACCCTATGCACAACAGCCCTAAACCCTGCTCTATCCTGTGCCAACCGCACTGCCTCTGACACACCCATCCCGATTACCCCAGTCACTGAATCGATCCATCTCATAGAGGGTCTTCCCCTCCTGCGCTGTTCCTCCACCCTCCCAAGCATGATGTCCCTCTCCAAGGACCCGTCCCTCCTGGCAACATGTCCAAAAAAGTCAGATGAAGCCCCAGAATCCTTGCCTCCAAGGAGTAGCTTGGTTTAATCCTCTCCAAGATGAATCTGTTTGTTTTCCTGGCAGTCCATGGTACATTCAGTACTCTTCTCCAGCACCACAGCTCAAAAGCATCCACTCTCCTTCTGTCCTCCCTAGTCATTGTCCAACTCTCTGATGCATAACAAGCGATTGCAAAGACCATGGCCTGTATCAGGCGCACCTTAGTCTCCAGAGAGACACTGTTGTTCCTGAGTACTTTAGAGAGGTCCCTAACAGCAGACTTTCCCTTTGCGATACGCTTTTTGATTTCCTGACTGCTGGTGCCAAGAGTGTTGACTGTAGAGCCGAGCAAACTGAAGCTGTGAACACTCTCAATCTCTTCGTCATCCACCCTGACGCTGCCAATTGGTCCAGAGGTAGGCCATTCAAATCCACCAACTATTTCATGGGAGAAAAATGGGCAATCTCTTCCTGTGCAATTTACAGCCTCTGAAAACTAACTGGAGAATCAGCTATTAATCAGTTCTGACTCTACAGTTCTGACTCTCCTTTTTGGAAGATCCCTAGTGAGTGGTAAGTGATTAATCACTCAACTCCTAACCCAATTTGCACCTGCCAGCTACTCTTTAGGAGAACAATGTGAAAGTCTGTTTGGGTGGATATTTACAATCTGAGTAACCCCATGGGGTTCTTTTCTATCCTTTGAGGTTACTATGGGTCAGAATTACTTGATGCTATTGGGCTTATCTTTTTTTCCCACCAGATAACTGGTCTTCTAAAATAACTGACTTATTGATTGGCTTTTATTGATTTTGTTTTTCACTTTGGCAATTTTGATCAAATTATGTGCTCCCTTTCCTCTCTGACCCTCTTCAGATAGGAGAGGGCTGTTTTCAAAGTGGAAAATAAAAGTATGTTTTGTACAGAAAACTACAGGGTGTGCCTGCATGGATGCAGCTGATAGGTGGAAAATGAATACGGATGACAGAAAAAAACCTGGTGCTTTTGAATTGTAGTGTTAGGGAAGAGTATTGAAGATACCATGGACTAACAAAATAACCAACAAATATGCCGTGGCAGAAGTAACAGCCTTATAGTCAAGCAAGGGCGCTCAAAATTTATCTTACATACTTTGGGAATGTTGCTAGGCTGGGCCAGTCCTTGGAAAAAGACATGCTCAGAAAAGGAATTGCAAAAGAGGAAGATCCTCAACAAGATGGATTGTCATAATGACTGTAGCAATGTGTTCAAGCATGGAGAAAATCATGAAGATGGCCCGTGATAGGACAAGGTTCAGATCTGTTATTCATAGGGTTGCTGTGAGTCATGGACAACTCGAAATCATGTAGCGGCAACAAATGCTGCCAGGGCTTCTTTGTTGCTGTTTTGTACCATAGAGTCGGAACGACCCTCCAGAGGGTTTTCAGAAGCTTACAGGAGGAGATTACCCATCCTTTTCCCATGGAGCAGCTGGTGGATTTGAACTATGTGCCTTTGGTATTTCAGCACAGATTCTTACCTCTGGGCCACTATAGCTCCTTATTTCCAAAAAGCAGATACAAAAGTTCACAAAAGCATATCTCCAGAACACATCCGTTCACACACTTCTCTCTTATTGCCAACTCATAGCTGGTCCTCCAGGAAATTCCTGAAGTTGTAATTCTCATGAAAGGAGATTGCTTATCTTTCTCCTTCTGATCAGTTGGTGGATTCAAACTGCCAGAGCTGGTATGACCTTTGGGTTAGCAGCAAATCTCCCTACTGACTCAGCCACCTGAGCTCCCATGTCTGCTGCAGTAATTGGGAGCATATACCCATTTCTGGTTTCCCGAGGCAAGCTATTATGGAAGTGGATGCCACTCCTCCTTCCAAGCTTGTTTTAATCGGGGAGCTCCACCCCACTCTCTGTCTGCATTGGGTAGCCAATCATTAATGCATTTGACACATCAGTGTCATGGTGTTCAGCCTCACAGCAACCAAAAGTGACCACGGTACAGCAACTTGTACACCAGGGCTATACGACCTAGAGGAATGTCTGAACAAAAGCAATGAAAGGCAGGCCCGAGGGCTGCGGATTAAAAGTCACCCACCCACCTTTGGCTTGGTAGCATCGCTTTCTGTCCACTAGGCCAGCTGATCTCTCTCTCTCTCTCTCTCTCTCTCTCTCTCTTTATGTTGATATTATTGTTGTTAAGTGTCGTCAGGTCGCAGGCGAGGACTCTCCTTCATAGGGTCGCTATGAGTCTCCTGTGACTCGACGGAGTAATGATTTTTTTATGAGCACTAAGGTGTGTCTGATTCAAACCATAGTCTTTCCAATATCTTGCTATGCATCTGAGAGTAAATAAAGAGGACAGAAAAAAAGAATTGACACCTTTGAGCTGTGATGTTGGAGAAGATCCCTGAACATCCTATGGACAGCCAAGAGAACAAACAGCTATATTGTGTGTGTTTTTAAAAAAATTTTTGTTCTTTTTTGTGTGTGTGTACCATGAAATCAGATCTGACTGGTACAAGAGGAGATTACCCCTCCTTCTCCAGCAGAGCATCTGGTGGATTCAAACTGCATACCTCTGGGATTGCAGTGCAACTTCTTGCCACTAGGACACCAGAGCTCCCTTAAACAGCTATATCTTGGAAAGGGTGCAGGCAGAATGCTCTTTGGAGGCAAGAATGATGAGGCTTCACCCCACATACTTTGGGCATGTTGCTAAGAGGTGCTGTTCCTTGGAGAAGGAAACAATGCTGGGAAGCGTGGAGGGTCATGAAGAAGAGGAAGTCCCTCAACCAGGTGGACTGACACAGTGATTGCTGCAAAGGATTCTTGTGTGTCAGGAAGTGTGACAATGGCGCAGGATTGGACAGGGTTCAGATCTTTCATTCATAGGCTTCTATGAGTCATATTTGATTTGATGGCACCTAACAACAAGAACAACCTTTTTTTTCCATTTCAAACAGTCATACAGGTCCCCTCTTCTCCTATTGGCCACATGCCCTGTCCAAGGGAAAGCAGCTGCCCAGTGAGCTCCAGAGGACACTGTAGGTGGGCTCTGTAGGTTTTGTGGGTCATTACTTGCTGTTTCACGTCCACGTGAATGCAGAACAATGTGGGAAGAAGAAGAAAGGATGGGGCCTTTCTTGCCTTTTTGCCTAATTTCTCTCAATTTTTCATTTCAATAGCTTTCTGCCCTCAGTTTCATCATTGCTGCTTTGTGTTGAATTCTATCCAGGCCTTGCAATACTGTAAACCACAATGGTTAAAGATGTCCCTTAATTCTTGGTGTTCAGGAAAACGGTTTGCTGTACAGAATTGCCCTTTCCATATTCCTGATGGCATTTACTAGTCCAGTTGTGAGGATTTTCATTTTCTTGCTGTAGCAATGTAATCCATATTGAAGACTTTATTCTTTGATCTTCAGTAGATGCTTCAAGTTCACTTCTAGTAAACAAAGTTGTGTCATTTACATAACACAGGTTAAGTCTTTTTCCAATCTTGATGTCACTTTCTTCTTCAGATAGTCTAGCGTCTCAAATTATTTGTTCGGCTTGCAGACTGAATATGTAGGGAGAAAGAATGTAACACTGGAACACACCTTTCCTGATTTTTTCTAAAAGTAATTAGTTTTCATTTGTTGGGACTGGAAATTTAACAATAAAGGAGAGTCAGTGCTGCAAGAAACTAACATCACCAGATCAGAAAAGTTTTCCACTATTTCCCAATTTTTAAACCCGTGCAGTGTCTCTTTCTTCTTTTCAAACAACTGCTTCTTAATCCTTGTACAGGTTCAGTGTGAGCGAAATTACATACTCTGGAATGACTACTCTTTCCAGAGTTAGTCCTGATCTATTATAATCTATACAGTCAAATGCTTGGCATGACTGTAAATCAATAAAACACAAGTAAAAATCTTCCTAATAGTCTCAGATTTCAGCAAAGGCCCATCTAAATTCAGCAATGATTTGCCTCGTTCCATGGCCTTTTCTGAATCCAGCTTGAATTTCTGGCAGTTCTCAATCCTTATAGTTGTTGTTGTATGTTGTCAAGTCAGATCTGACTTATATCTGACCCTCCAGTAGGTTTGGGGGGGGGGGGTTAATCAAACAAGAGGTGATTTCCTCCCAGTTATTTTTAATAATCTTGATAATATTTTGTTTGATTGATAGTAATGATTGTATTGATTTATTTATGGTTTTAATCTTAATAACAATTAATGATTATTTGATAATACCCACACTCTGCTAGATCACCTCTCTTGAATGGATATATAATATAGATCTCTTCTAGTCAATTGGCTAGGTAGCTGTCTTCCAAATTTTCTTTTTCTTCCAAAGTTTTTGCATACAAATTTCTTAGCATAGACTAGTGAGCATGTCCAGGGCTGCAGCTGTATGTGGAAATACCTCAGCTAGTTTATTCTCAGTTTCAGTCTCTGAGAAAAGGAAACAGAATGCTTTCTCCTCTAATTCTTCTGAAATGTGTGTAGATCTATGATCAGGGAGTTATTCCCAACATAATGGACCTCTTTCTCCCCCTACAATAATCCCTGTTCCCTCCTTCTTCATCTTTCTGAGTGCTTTTTTTTCCAGAGTGCTTTAGAGCTTCTTTCTATCAAAATCTGGATTTCTTTTTTGATGCTCCATTTACCCAATAACATGTAGGCACCCATACATATGCATATGTTCACCCACCAATACGTTGGTTTTCAAATGTAATATATAATTCCTTCCTTGATCTTCACTGGCTTCCAGGAACATTCATGCTGGATCTCCTCCACTCTTCTCCTGGATACTTCTCCATTTGCACTCACTTCCTGACCTCTGCATGTAGAAGTTCCTCAGGGATGTATTTAGTGATATCTCATCCAGGCTCAGAGCTTTAACTGTCATCCCAATAACAATTTCTAATACAAAACTCTCCCCTGAAGTTCAGGCTGTTAAATCCAGGTGCAGATATGACTCCCCTGACTGTCTTGACTGTCTAATAATCAGTAAACCAGTTACCACTGCGTGAACTCCTGGTGACCTCTCTAAGTGTGTCAGAGTACAACTATACTCCATAGGGCTTTAAATGGCAGATGGTTTTAAGGAGATTGTCAGACCTCTTTCTTCCAGGCTTGACAACTGTCAAATTTGAGTCTAGGTGGACTCAAATTGTCCTCCTTCCATTGGCAGCCAGTTCCATAAACTGTTTGCACCATGCAGGGATTCTTAAATGCTTAATAAAATAGTAAACACAAAAGTCCAAACCTAACACCTCATCAGGCTTGTCCTTCCACTATCTTCCATTTCAGAAAATGGTACCTCCAGCCTTCCCGTTTGTCAGGACACAATCTCTTGTATCACACTTGCTGCCTTTCTTTTATATAAAAAGTCCATCAGAAAAGCATCAAGTTCTGCTCTTAAATGCATCTCAAGGCCACCCACTCCACACCCTATCTACCATTAGCACCCTGTCCAAACTACCACTATCTCTTACTAGGATGACTGTATTGGTCTCCTACTTACTTTTCCTGCCCTGGTCCCTCACTGTAGCACCCAATCAGAACACAAGTTAGCACATACTAAAATGCTAATCATTAAGCAATTGAAAAGCAAAGCCATGAGATTCTTCTCTATACCCACTATAATGGCTGTCTGTAAAGTTCAAACTGCTTCACCAAAGAAGACATTCAGATGGTGAACAAACACATGAAGAAATGTTCAAAATCCCTAGCTCTAAGAGAGAGGAAAATCAAAACAAGTATGAGATAGCATCTCACCCCAGTCAGAATAGCAAAATTTAACAGAACAACAAACAACAAGTGGTGGTGAGGTTGTGGAGAAACTGAAACACTTACTCACTGTTGGTAGGAGTGTAAAATGGTGCAACCACTATGGAAGGCTGTATGGCGCTTTCTCAAAAAGTTGCAAATAGAAATACCAGTGTACCTAGCAATTCTACTACCAGTAATATACTCCAAAGAAACCATAACTGCCACTCAAGCAGATATATGCACACCCATGTTTATTGTGGCTTTGTTTACAATAGCAAAGAGTTGGAAACAACCCAAGAGCCCATCAACAAATGAATGGATAGAGAAGCTCTGGTATATTCACACAATGGAATACCATGCAGCACTTTAAAACAAGGAACTAATGAAATAGTATACAAAATAGGTGACCCTGGAGGACATTATGCTGAGTGAAGTATCTCAGTCACAAAAGCACAAATACTGTGTAGTGCCACTATTGTAAAATGGGACTGACATTGGGATTGGGGGGAGACTGAGAAAGATGGGTTCAATAATGTATACTGCACTGAAACAGATAAGGGAGAGAGCTGTTTAAAAGGGATATGTGACTAAGTATATTTTTGTCATGACAGGCGTCTAGAGCGAAGGCTACATGGTGGAGTGGACCTGGGGGGAGGGGTTGTATAAAAATGAAAGAATTTTGCTTTTACTTTTCAAAGAGAAGAGTGAACTGGGGGGAGGAGGGTTGGGAGGGGAGAAAAGTGTAACAATGAATGACTGGAAACCCTAAGTCTCTGTAAACTTTTCATTAAAATTAATAATAAAAAAGAAAAAAGTAAAACAAGTTTAAATTGCATCAGCAAAAGAGAGAAAAACCTGCCAGATGGATTGACACAGTGACAACCACATTGGGCTTGACCATGACAGAGAAAGATGGTGTAGGATAGGACAAGGTTACCATCTGTTGTTCATAGGGTCACAGTGAGTCATAGCTGGCTCTATGGCACCTAACAACAACAACATGATGCTGTTATTTTTTTTTTAAATGAAAAGAAAAAAAAACAGTGTTGGCATAATATGTGTAAATCAGAATCTTGAACATTGTTGGTATAAATGTAAATTTTTAAAATGATGTCTACACTGTGGAAAACAGCTAGATAATCTTTAAAAAGTTAAACATAGAATTGTTGTTGTTGTTATGTGCCATCAAGTCACCTGTGACTCATAGTGACCCTATGTTCAACAGTCCTAAACCTTGCTCTAACCATTGCCAATCTTATTGTCTCTGACACACCCATCCCCTTTACCCTAGTGACTGTATCAATCCATCTCATTGAGGGTCTTCCTTTCCTTTGCTGTCCCTCTACCCTCCCAAGCATGACCTTCCTCTCCAAGGACTGGTCCCTCCTTGCAGCATGCCCAAAGTATGTCAGATGAAGCTTCAGAATCCTTGCCTCCAAGGAGCAGCCTGGCTTCATCCTCTCCAGGACAAACTTGTTTGTTCTCCTAGCAGTCCATGGTATATTCAACACTCTTCTCCAGCACCATGCTGAGTCAATCTGATTAATAGCCAACTTGTAGAAGAAAATAGAACTGATTAATAGAGTTTCCAGTTTCTACATCTTTACAGAAACAAACTGCTTTCTCATCTCCTAAGGATTAAAATAGCCAACCTTTTGGTTAGCAGCCAAATGCCTCAACCACAAAACCACTGAATAATTCCACTCTTTGATATGTATCCAAAATATTTGGAAACAGCAACTCAAACAACTATTTGTACACCTATGTTCATGGCTGTACTCTTGACAAAAGCCAAAAAGTAGAAACAACTCAAGTGCCTATCAATAGATCAGTGAATCAACAAAATCTTTTATTGTTGTTATGTGTTGTCAGGTTGACTGCAACCCTTAGCGACCATATTAACAATGAATCTGAACCCTGCCCTATCTTGTGCCATCCTCACCAATTCTGATATACTAGAACCCATCGTTGCAGTCAATCCATCTCGTGGAGGGTCTTCCTTTCTTATGCTGACCCTTCACCTTTCCACACACGATGTCCAACATGAACAACACATACATCCATTAAAAAAAAAAGTTGCTATATAGTCAACTTCAACCCATGGCAATTCCATGTGTATCAAAGTAGAACTATATTCTACAGGTTTCCTAGGGTTAATTTTTGCTCCTGAGAAACTTCTGGATATACTTGGACCCCAACTTTTTGGACCATTAGCCATGTGCACCACCCAGAGTATATACACACAATGGAATAGTATTTAGCCATAAAAATAAATGGAGCCCCAATACATGCTACAGCATGAACAAACCTTTGACAATAATACACTAAGTGAAATAACCCAGATATAAAAGGACAAATTGTATATTATCCAAATTATGTCAAATATTTAGAATAGGTAAATGCATAGAGACGAGAGACTCTGTGAAGAAACATGGGGAGATCCAGGGAGGAAGAAGAAATCCCATGTGTCCACAGAATACAGTAATATTTAGGAAATTAAATAAAATAAGTACCAGAAATGGGCTTTGAAAGATACATAGAAAGTGGTACTGGAGGGAGGTAGATGTTCAAGAAGAAGGGAACAGTCAAGAAAAATCATAGAATTATGAAAGCTGTGAGGGAATGTTGGTTACCATCACCCATGCTTAAAAGTGTTTCTGATTGACCATGGTGTGATCTTTCTATGTACAATTCTCTTTCCTCAGATCAAGGCACTCATCAAGAGCTACATCCAAAGACAGCAGACAATCAACCTGGTGGTGGTACCCTGTAATGTGGACATTGTGACCACAGAGGCACTCAGCATGGCTAAGGAAGTGGACCCTGATGGAGACAGGACCATTGGTAAGGAAAAAGGACTAGGCTTCTAGAATATAGGAAGAGAGAGAGACCCCTCACGTACTCAGAAGGCCCCATAGTACAGTACTCTGTGATGCTCCCATCCTGGACTGAATCTAAGTGCTTATTTGTGAAGAACCAACAGTGGGTCATCTTTGTTCAAAGTCAGGGTTAAATAAGTGATCAGAACCCTCCCTCTTGTCTCTTGTTTTAGATTCCTAAAACTGTCATAACTAAGTACCATAAACTGAATATTGTTGTTGCTGCTGTAGTTATGTGCCGTCAAGTTGACTTAACAACCCTAAGAACAATGACTCTGAACCTTGTTTCAACCTGAGCCAACCTCAACACCTCTGTCACCTTTGACCCCATTGTCATTGTATCAATCCATCTCATCCAGGGTCTTCCTCTCTTGCACTGACCTTTTACACTTCCAACTATGATGGCCTTCTCCAAAGACTGGCCCCTCCTGAGAACATGCTCAGAGCATGTGAGATGGAGTTGTGATATTCTTGCTTCCAAGGAACAACCTGGTTTTACTTCTTTCTTGGACAGACCTATTTTTTCTCTTGGCAGTCCATAGTATGTTCAATACTCTTCTCCAGCACAGCTCAAAGACATTGAATCTTCTTCTGTAATCCTTAGTCATTGTCAAGCTCTCAGATACATAGCAAACAATTGAGAAAAACCTGGATTTGTATCAGGTACATCTTAATCGTTAGACTGACCATCACTGCTGTTTAGTACTCTGGAGAGATACTTAACAGCAGATTTTTTCCAATACACATTGTCCTTTTTGTTTGTTTGTTTGTTTTTTACACATTGTCTTTTGATTTCCTGACTACTGGTGTCAAGGGTGTTAATTGTAGATCCAAGCAAGATGAAATTGTTAACAACTTCAGTCTTTTCTCCATCCGTCATGATGCTGTGTATGGAAAACAAAAGAAAACAGAAATGTGTTGTCTAACTATGCTGGGGCTCACACTTACTCATTGCTGTTGAGCCAAAACAGATTCATAGCTGACCCTTCAGTAGGTTTCTGAGGCTGTAACTGCATAGGAGGAAATCTTTCCTCTTTCTCCATCAGAGCTGCTAGTGGATTCACAGTGCTGGAGAAGCATGGTCATTGGCTTAGAAGCTTAACTCCCTGGACAAGTAGTGCAGAAGGCCTTAGCCTTGTGTATTTCTTCTGAGTACCCTGAGAATGAATCTATTCTGTGCTGCTTTCCTGGGAGCTAATGGCAATCTGTGGAGTTCTTTGTTCTTGGAACTGCAGTCTCCCATCTCTGACTCCACCTTCACATGGTTAGTTTCCCTCTGTGTCTCGTTCACAATGACACCATTAAGATTGAATTAGATATTATCTTATTCCTCTATGACTTCATGTGAATTTCCATGATCTTCATGTACTTGCATCCTAAATTTCTTTATTCTGGCCATGAAATTCTAGGTGATCTGGCTTCTGCAACCGTGGTTCTCACTGCTGTCTCTATTGCCCATTACTCCCTAGCATGGTTCAGTCATGCCAGCTCAATTCCAGCTAAGGGTGTGGGTCGCTTTTCCTCTCTTCACTGGGTTGCCTCTAATCTCTCATTCAGATCTCAGCTCTCCTGTTGCCTTCCCTGCAGGCCCATTCCCTCCTCCACCAGCCTACATCCAGACCAGCCATCCCTGCCTCCGTCACTGGTGACCTCATCACGTCCTTTTATTCTCTGCATGACAGTCATTACCACCTGATATGTATCTTTCTTGTGTATTACTAGGTTAATTTAACTGGCTTCTTCCTACTGGATGGATAAGGGGAGTTATTGTTCATGAGACAAGAGGCTGCATTCTCAATCACTGCCACCTCCCCAGCACCCACAGGGCTGTGCTTACTGAGACTAATTCAACAAATTAGTTCAAAATGAGAGCAGAGTAAAAGCACCTGAAAATGACTGTCAGTACCTTTCTCTGTGACCCAAAGCTACTATAAAGAGTAAAAGATGCTTATGAGCTGGTGCTGTACACTGAGGCACGTGTATCTCCTAGTCTCAGTCCTCTTAGGGTGAAAGGATGTATTAGAATAGGAAACTCTCAAAACATTCATTGCCATCAAGTCAGAACTGACATAGCTGACACTCCAGTGGCTTTACAGAGACTGTGAATCACATAGTAGGAGGTTAACTATCTTTCTACTCTGGAGCTCGTGATGGATTTGAACCACCAGAGTTGCCTCTGACTTTGGATTAGCAGCACAGCTTCCTGTGCACTCTGTCCCCAAAGTTGATGGTATAAATATTGATAAGGTTTAAGAGTATGTGAAGGCTCTATCCTTAGCTAGAGTGAGTCCTTGTTACAAAACTCAATTATCACCATGTCACTGTCTTTCTTGAAGTAAAGTGCAATTATTGTGGTCCACACACTCAACCACTGAGTCTAAGAGAAGGATTTTCTCAGCTACCTTTCGTCCCTCTTTGCTTCCTTTTCCTATTGGAAGGTTCAGATATGTCTCAACTCTGTTGATAGCACGTAGGGATGAGTATACAAACTTTCTTAAGTGAGGAAAAAAGATATAAACTTTTAAGTGACAACTTTTGATAGTAGCAAAATTAAACATACACAGAGAGATAAAGAGAGATAATTGCTTGACTGAGGTGTGAGAGGAGTCTCAGTATAGAAATTAGATATATAGTCCATGTATAACTGTTAAAAACCAGGACAACATAGCAGATTACCTTCAGCTTTCTATTATAAACAAAGGGTCGGGGGAGGGAAGGCAGCGGCAATTTTATGCTCAAAGAAGAAAAAGGGAAATGAAGGATCAGAACTCAAAGATTTTCATTTAACACAAGTGGAAAGATTGTGGGACAGAAGAAAAAAGGTAGAAAAGAGACTATAAAGGAGAAGAGTGGATCTGTGGCAGGCGACGTTAGAGAGAGCACATCTTAGTTTCCTACTGTTGCCATAACTAACACAAGTGGATAGTCTTAAAGAAAAGACTATTTCCTCACCGTTCGGGAGGCTTACAGTCTGGATTTAGCGTATGACTCTTGATGAAGGTCTTTCATTGTCTATTTCAGCGTCTAGTAGCTGCCAGCAATCCTTGGCGTTCCTTTCCTTCTGGCTAGGTCTGTTTCTGCTCTGCTCTTTGTATAACTCAGAAGCCATTAGGGTTAGGGATCACTCAGTTTCCTCCTGTGTGATTTACTGCCTCTAAAAACCCACTGGAATGTCTGTTATGAGGTGGTTCTGACTCAAGTTATGAGGCAATGACTCTAGTATGACCTCACTAATAAAAGAAAGATCTAAACAGGATCAGATTTATCAGTTCAGGGGCTAGGATTTCATCATATATTCTTCAGGGAACACAAATCTGTAATAGAGGGTGCAGACCCCACCCCACCCCCTTACAGCAAGTACCTGGTATTCTCAAGAATGTAGCGCAGAGACTCAGTCTGTTCTGAGAATGGCAACTGACATCCTGACCTACAACAGACACCCAAGAAACATTTACTAATAAATGATGCCCAGCAGTACCTGAACACTGAGTGAGGAGGGCTGAGCCTGTGAGTGAGAAACATCCTAATTAAGAAGGAGAGGAATAAATGAAAGGTGACTAGGCATTAGGCCTTAGTGGTCCTGGCCGGAGAAGCAACTTATAAGCCAGGAGATTTCAAATGTGTTTAGATGAAAATAGAGAGAACTGACCTGTGCACTGTCTTTCTCCACGCATTGCTCAGGAATCCTGACCAAACCAGATCTAGTGGACAAGGGCACTGAAAATAGTATCCTGAAAGTGATGCAAAACCTCACCTACCACCTCAAGAAGGGCTACATGATTGTGAAGTGTCGGGGTCAGCAGGAGATCATCGACAACCTGAGCTTGGAAGAGGCCACTGAGAGAGAAAAGAACTTCTTTCAGTCCCATTCGGTTTTCAGGTGAGACTCTAGGAGACAGACACCCCACCTACTAGAACTGACCAGGATTATAAGCCAAAACTGTAAGATACAGCAACATCTGTCTTTGTCTTTGATTTTTTTAATTAAATATGTTGGTATATTTAAAGAAATTTAAACATGTTATTTAAATTTGGGCTTTATTGATGATATAATTTTTGAAAATTACATCACATCATTCTAACCGTACTTCGGTTTCCCAATATATTTCCCTTGCTTTCTTTACTTGAGTGCCAAAATACTTTTAAGAAGGATATGATGCAGGCAAGCTTCCTCCATTTAATATATGAGAATAACAAAGTAAAAAAGAGTGCATGGGACCAAGACAAGAAACAGATCCTCCAAGTTCCAGAAATCTGTATCTCCCCTCACAGATGGTTCACACTGAGGGCTGCCATAACAAAAGACCACACCATGAGCAGCTTCAAACAACAGAAAGTTAGGGACTTACTGTTTTAGAAACTTGTAGTCAGAGTGCAGGGTGTGGTCAGAACCCAATTTTCTCCAAAAGCTCTAGGGGAAGAAGAGCCTTTTTTTTTTTTTTAAATTGTTTACCTACAATCAAAGGCAGCAGGTGGTTCAAATCCAGCAGCTGCTCCATGGGAGATGGAGGAGCAGTCTCCTCCTGTGTTATTAAACTGCCTCTGAAAACCCGCTGGCGGATGAGCTATGAGTCAATTCCAATTCGATGGTACACAACACCTCCACCAACACACGTAATCATTACACTGTGTTTTGTTCACATACATTGTTTTTAATGTAATAATTCACCTACATTTTGGGGTGTGGTTTTATATATAATTAAGTCCTATTGATCCATGTCTTTTATCACCCTGTCTCATCAAATCCCCATTACATCTTGTCTGCTTCTTCACTCCCACCCCTCGTCATCTGTCCTCTAATCTCTGCTGCCCTAGTGGATTTCTAATCTCCCCTCCCTTCTTCCACCCCCTTCTCATCTTCCCCTTCCCCTTTTAGACAATTATATATCTTCTCTTCCTGTTTGTTAACTACAATATTGTTCTTCCATCAATTCTTCAGGGTTGACCCTCCCCTTGTTGTGATCCTTTCTTGTTCATTTAGGTACTTTCCATCTGTTCTCCTGATTCCATCCGTTCCCAGTTACACTCCCAATTTCACAGTAATGATCTCAATCACAAAAGGAAGATTCTCTCTTCTCTCTCTGGGCTTCCAGTAGCCCCAAGAGCTCTTTACCGTGTAGATGCGTCTTCACATGGAATCCATACCAGTGCCAAACTAAGGCCACCATGTCTCTCTTTGTCTCTTCTCTTTCATAAGGACATTACTGGGTACCCACCAGGTTAACCTAACTAACAATTACATCTTCAAAAACCATTTCCTGAGGAGAGAGAGACAGAGGGAATGTGGAATAAAAATAGGAAACATTTAAAAGGCTAGGTTTATAATCCATTAGAGGCTGTAATCCCCAAGCTACACCCCTTAGTCACTCGTGGAACCTGGAACAAAACTCAACCTGTGGTTTAACTTTCAAACAGGCCTGTGAAGTGATCAGTAACATAGGGAGGCCCTCACTCCATAGACTACCCAGTCCTAAAAGTGGAAAGAGCAGTATTTGCCCACAGACAAAGCCCAGAAGGCAGGAAGGAATCGGATAGAAAGATTGTTGTTGTTGTTGTTAAGTGTCGTCGAGTCGCAGGCGACTCATAGTGACCCTATGAAGGAGAGTCCTCAACGCTTGGGTGTCTCTCAGCCTCTCTCCAGGTTCACAGGGTTTCCGGAGGCAAGCTATTATGGAAGTGGATGCCACTCCTCCTTCCAAGCTTGTTTTAATCGGGGAGATCCACCCCACTCTCTGTCCGTATTGAGTAGCCAACCATCAAGGCATTTGACACATCAGTGTCACAGTGTTCAGCCTCACAGCAACCACAAGTGACCGTGGTACGGCAACTTGTACGCCATGTCCACAAGCTCAGGTCAAAGAGAGAAATATTACAAGGAGGAAGTGGTAAGAGCATGATTAGATTGTGACTGTTGTAATTGATGTTATAAAACAAAATGCACATAAAAATGGTTGAATGGAAAACCACTACGCTTTTGCAAACTCTCATGCAAGCCTCTGTAGGGACTATTTAAAATAAATAAAATTCTACCTTAAGTGTTTAACCTCTACGGTTTCTTTTGTTTTCTTGTCCATGAAAAGACTACTTAACTCATGGCCTGGTTGTGAGGATTAATGGACACAGTGAATTCAACCTTCGTGGCACCTTCCCAAGTGTGGGCCTGCTCAGTAATTAGCATCTGTCTGTCTCAGACATTCACTTCTGATGAGGGGAGAATAGCTGAATTCATTTGAAATCCCAGTCCTGGAAAATGATGGCACAAGGGTCTCCCAGAACTCACCTATGTCCTGTTTTGCTCTGTTTCAGAGTTCTCCTGGAGGAAGGAAAGGCCACAGTGCCTAATCTGGCTGAAAAGCTGACCTCAGAACTCATCCTGCACATCAAAGTGAGCCATTGGGTTGGGTGTCAAGTTTTAAGAATGTGTTTGGGAGGCTGCTTCTGGAATCTGGTTTTGAAATAATAGTATTTCCTCACCATACCCAGTAAACTGTGGTTCACTCAGAAAACGTTCATCTGTTTTGGAGAGTCTTTTCACGGTCTCAATAATTGTGAAAGCAAATGTATTATTTGTTTCCTGGGGAGTTTGGTCAAAGGTAGGCTTCCTCTACCGCCCTCTGCAGAGCAAAACCTGAAACAGGCTAAATAGGCCATCTGATTTAATCAAATCTTGAACTTTGAGTTGGAAAGAAAAGAGAAGTTAACCTTTTTGAGCCATGTGATCTCTTCAAGATCAAGAGACTGTGAAAAAGTACAAATTAGGAACCTGTGTTCAAAGACAATCTGAACTGCGTTTCTGAAGTTTGTGCACATTTTGTTTCACTGAAATGTTATTTTGCAGCATTTTGTTAAAATAGTAAGTAATTTAATGATCTTAAAAGTAATATGTTTTGTGTGAGTGCGTGCTTGAGTATGTGAGAACTGCCTTCTTTTCAGGTTTTATTTAATAATGGTTCCTTGAACAGGATTCCCTTGCTCAGCAACCAGTATGGAATATTTGTCATTAAATCTATTTGGAAAAAAAAATAAAATAATTGCAACCTCCAAGTCACTTACTCAGTTGCTGTGCTGCCCAAGCAAGTAAGCCAAGGAGGAAACTTCAAAACCCAAGTTCCTCATGACCAGAAAAAGAGAGCTCCTGAAACGAGGCAGCAACAGCTGCCCAGTGTTGAAACAAATGGCTGGATCAATGAGTTTGGGAGGAGAAAATAGGAAGAGTGTGAAACTGGTAACAGGTCAGCAGTGTGACGGAGATTGACCCTCAGCTAGTAAATCTTCTGTTTTCAATGGGTTAATACTTTCCAGTAAAAACAAAAAATTCTCCTAGGTTTAGGATTCTAAAAGATAAGTGTGCAGTTTTTACTGATTCACAAAAATGGACAACCACATACAAAATTCTCACGATAACAACCAAGACAGGAGAAACGAGATGTTAATTATTGATAAATCTGCTAGTTTAGTGGTTGCCTGAACATCTGGAAATCAGATAGAACAGTATGTGAAAAAGGAGCTTTGGTGGCACGGTGGCCGAAGCGTTTTGATTGTTCCCTGGGTGGCTGTCCCTTTGAGCCCATCCGTGTCCCTGCTAGAGGGGAATGTGGAAGTCTGCTCCCATTAAGATTTGCAGCTTGGAAACATTTTGGGACAGTTCTGTGCTGTAAGGTAGAGCCAGAATCCACCTGACAGCAGTGATGGAGTTTTGTTTTTAATGTGCAAAGATTTATTTTGAACCATTAGAGAAGAAATCTATACAAGCAAATACCAGGCCTTGGTTTTCCTTGTGTGTCAGCATGTTTGTAGAGTAAAAGTAATGACGCCTTTGAAAGAGCTAGGAAGCACGTCCTCAAAGTGAGTTGGAAATGGCCTGTGGTTGTCCACCTTCAGGGCATGTAAGAAGCAAATGAAATGTTTAGGCACAGATCTTGGGTCCTCCACTCAGACATTCTGACTCAGCAGGTGATTGACCCCAGGAACACTCATTGAATAGCACTAATTGTAGTCTCAAACAACTTGCTTTGAGAAGAGAAAAAAATATCTTACTGCTGGCAGGTTTGAGCTGACCCCCAACAAGTGTTAGAGACGCTGACATGAGGAGGTTGCCCATCTTTCTCCCTCGAAAATGCTGGTGAACAGCAAAGAAGGGGGTCACTTTTAAATTAGCAGCACAACTCCCTATGGACTAGGCCACCAGAGCTCACTTGGCAAAAGAGGGCTCTGAAAAAAGATATCAACCTACTAGCAGTTGTCAGGAGTCAGTTCCAACTCATGGTGACGTCATGTGTGCACAGCAACACTGTGATCTCTTGGAAGCAGATCACCTGGCCTTTCTTCTGAGGATCTTCTGGGTGGGTTTGAACCTTGTAGTTAGTAATGAAGTGTTTGACAGTTTTCGCTACTCAGTAAGTCCTTTATATAATATGTTGTTATTATGTGCCACCAAGTCTGATCTAACCCAAGGTTGACCATCCAGCAGGTTTTCAGAGGCAGTGAATCACCCAGGAGGAATTTGTCCATCTTTCTCCTGTGAAGCAGCTGGTGGAATCAAACCACATGCCTTTAGGTTGACAATGCAATGCCTTCTATCTAATGTATCCTTGTCTAATGTAAATAGGCCACTGCTGGGAGAAAAGGGATCTCAGTGGTTAAGAGTTCAATTGCTAACCACAAGGTCAGCGGTTTGAACCCATGAGCCCCTCTGCAGGAGAAAGATAAGGTAGCCGACTACTAACAGAAAGGTTGAGGGTCTGTGTTCACCCAGAGGTGCATGAGAACAAAGGCCTAGTGGTCAACTTCCAAAACACCAGCCTCTGAAAATTCATGAAACACAGTTCTACTTTGACATATGTAGGGTTACCAAGAGTCAGAGCTAAGTAGATGCTAACTGCTAATCATCTATTCACAAAGGAATTTCAAAATACACCCATTCCATGTAAAGGCAGTTTTTTGGTCCTTAAACATTTTTCCATCTTAACAAATTTCATGCAATGACAGAAATTCTAGAGTCATTTACATACTTTAAAATGAGTTTATGTCTTTATATCAGAGAAACCTGTCTGTTCACTTCATCAAGCTGAGGAGACTAAGTGCTTGCTATTGTCTCTTTCAGAAATCACTCCCGTTGTTAGAAAATCAAATCAAGGAGAGTCACCAGAGAGCAGAGGAGGAGCTGCGTTTCTGTGGCATAGACATCCCCGAACAGGAAATGGATAAAATGTTCTTTCTGATTGAGGTGAAGATTTCTTCATGAAACTCAGACTCAGTCTGATTTCTCTGTCAGCAAATACCTTTAATGCAAAAGTCATGCATGCTTTGTGGCACAACCACATCATTGGATTGCCAAGGCTGTAAATCACCTGGGTGGAGAGTGCCCATTTTCCCCCTCAGTGCCATTGGTGGATTTGAACCACCAGTGAGAGGTAGCCTTTGGGTTAACAGAACAAATCCCTCCAGGCTAGGCCACCAAGGGTCCAATTTGATAACAACATTCTTCCCTGATAATCTGGAAATCTAAGGTGACCCTGCACAGTCCGCTCTCTGTGGTGACATGAGGAGGCCTGTTGGCTTCAGGGGCCTCATCTGTAAGATGAGAGGGGTGGGTGTCTTGCAGTCCCTGCATGCCAATACTGTATGTGGCTGCCCAAAACCATGGATCTTTACTACGAACACAAAGCAAATCGAAACTTTTTATTTTTTAGAGAATTAAAGCGTTCAATCGAGACATTGAAAAATTGATAGAAGGAGAAGAAATTGTGAAGGACAACGAGTCTCGGCTATACAACAAAGTCAGGAAGGAATTTAAAGCCTGGGAACACGTGCTTGAAGACAATACCAAAAAAGGTCAGTTGGGGCCAGACTCCCCTGAAAGCTGCATCCTGATTACTGGCACAAGAAGCTACTTCTGGTACATATACAATCTGTGTTCAGCGCTGCGCCTGCCCAGTCAATGGTCTCAGCCCCTGAGAACTCTGCTTATCAGTCATGGGGCCCCTTCACTGAAAGCACTGTCCTCACCAACACGGGGTGTAGCAATGCCACTGCCTCTGCCTTCCAGCCCTACGTTGAGAATAAGGGGGCTCTGGTGGCTTAGAGGTGAGAAATTGCACTACCAATGTAAGGTATACAGTTCAAATCCACTAGCCTCTCTGTAGGAGAAGGATGGGCAGTCTCCTCCTGTGAGATTTACTGTTTCTGAAAATCCACCAGAGGGTCAGCTGTGAGTTGGTTCTGACTTGATGGCACATAACAACAAAAAGACGTTAGTGACTAAGACACTGAGCTGTCGAATTGGCACTGACCCATTGCTGACCCTCCAGTGGGATCTCCAAGGCTATAAATTGCATGGGAGGAGATTGCCCACCTTTCTCCTACCGAGCCACCCATCCGAGAGTAGTGCATGTCACAGAGATGATGGGTGCCTTGAAGGGGTGTCTAACTCCACAACACAGGCAGTGTCAGATTACTCAATTAGAAAGGTAAGCAGGGGCTTATTCAGGCTTACTTACTAGGCCACAGTGAAAATGTTCGTATTTTTTTTTATTACATGAAAAATCTCTGCTTCAAGGTGTGCTCAGGATCTGTCTCTCTTCTCTCCACAACCTCACAGGACCTTCCTACAGAGTCCAAGCCTCTTTTTGAAAATTAAAAACCATGGTGACATACATGTGGAATTGCTCACTACAGACTAGTGTATAACCAAAGGTGCTTACCTTGCTTTTGTGGGTAATCCATCCCTGGGGAGGAGGCCTCGGACACATTTTCACACTGAACCTCTCCAGCCGCTGTGGGTGCAGCAGTTCAAATGCCATGGTCACAGCAGTCATTAATGATGCTTATTTTGAACCAGGGCACCACTTCTTAATTAGTCATTGTTGCTAAGTGCCATCAAGTCGAGTATGATTCACAGCAACCGTATGAACAATAGATCTGAACTCTGTTCTATTTATTGTTTTATGTACATCCTTGACTTTCATCCATTGCTGCAGTCACTACAATCCACCTCGTTGGGGGTCTTCCTCTCCTTCACTGATGCTCCACCTTTCCAAGCATGATGGCCTTTTCCAAAGATTAGCTTCTCCTAACAACATGTGCAGAATATGTGAGATAAAGCTTCGTCATCTTTGCCTCCAAGGAACATACTGGTTGCACATTCTTCAAGTTGTATCTGTTTTGTTCTTTTGGCTGTCCGTGGGATATTCAGCACTCTTCTTCATCATCATAACTCAAATGCATTGGTTTTTTTCCTATCATCCTTATTCTCTGTCCAGCTGTCAGATACCTAGGAGGTGACTGGAAATACTGTGACTTGAATCAGGTGCATGTTAGTCTTTAAACTGACATCATTACTCCTTAGGACTTTGGAGAGGTTCATGACAGCAAACTTCCCCTATGCTATACTTCTTCCGATTTCCTGACTGCCAGTATCAAGGGTTTTGACTGGGGATGCAAGCAAGAGGAAATCATTGACAATTTCCGTTTTTTCCCCAACTGTCTGTCATGATGTTTCCTTGCTGATCCACTGGTGAGGATTTTTTGGTTTTTTTAATGTTGACATGTAATCCACATGGAAGGGTGCAGTCCTTGATCCTCTGCAGGAAGTGCTTCAGGTCCTTCTCCAGTACGTGTCACCTGCATAGTGCAGGTTTTTATGAGCCTTCTTCCAATCTTGATGCTACACTCTTCTTCATAAAGTCCAGTTTCTCAAATTATTTGCTTAGCACACAGACTGAATAAGTGTGTCAAGAAGATACAGCCCTGACACATACCTTTCCCAATTTTAAACCATGCAGTGTCGCCTTGCTCTGTCTCCAAAACGGCTTCTTTGTCCAGGCATAGATGCCCTATAAATAGTAGTAGTTGGAAAACTACTTAATTTTGAGTTTCCAAAGTAGAAAAGGTGACCTGAAATATTTGTTATTTCGGTGGTACTGAAGCGGAGAACTGGCAAGAGAGAAATCCACATGAGGTCATTTACAACTTCCCATTCCAGAAGAATGGGTTGATTTAGACCAATGAGCCAAGAAATGGCAAGAAATGTCAACTACGGAAACCCAGAAGAGCCAGACAGTCCTACTGCTTGCATTGTTCCCTTTCTCTTTGCCCTTACACCAAGACTGTGAAGCTAATGCTTTCACAAGTGTCTCCTTGCTTCCCTGACACAGTTCTAACATCCATTCCTCTCCAGCCCAGATGCCAGTAAGGAGTGTGTGTATGTATGTGTCCCCAAGTGTGTAGAAAATAGAAGCATTTGTTTGTTAAGCATTTGATAACAGGTTATTATTGTTCTGTTCTGTTCTGTTCTGTTCTGTTGAGTAGGGCTCATAGAACTCTGTCCTATCCTGTGCTGCCTTCATTAATCTCTGATACATTTGAGCCCATTGCTGCAATCACTGTGTCACTTCATCTCATTGGGGATGTTTTTCTTTCACTGACCCCCCACCTTTCTAAGCAGTATGTCCCTTTTCAGGGAATAGCTCCTTCCCTCAACATGCCCAAAATATGTACCACAAAGTTTCACCGTCCTTGCCTCTAAGGCAAGGCTGTTGGCTGTACTTGTTAAGGTGTGTCTATTTGTTCTTTTGGTCATCCATGGAGTATTTCAGTACTCTTCTCCAACACAACTCAAAAGTATCAGTTCTCTTACTTCCTTTAAGTATAATCTTCATAGGAAGTTTTCAAATGCTGCAAGAATTTTTAAATTTCTATTTTTAAGGTCATAATTTTCAAATTTCTTTACTTAATCAGAGATAGGTTCCCCTCCCCCACCTATGATAACGTGAAACTTCTTCCTTGGAGTAATAATTCTCAACTGAAATGTACTTTTACTAAAACAGAACTTTGCTTCTTCAAAGTCATTATTTCTTTAATTAAAAGCCATTCAACTGTGTATATCATAATAAATTATGGATAACAGAGATTGGGAATTCTAGAACACTTAGTTGTGTTCATACAGAACCTGTATCTAGGCTAAGAAGCAGTTGTTCAAACAGAATAGTCTAATGTTGAGAAATGTGTGTGTTGGGGTTGTATGCTTTCTCCATACCTGTTGTATTATTGTTAAATGCTGTCGAGTTGCTTGTGACTCATAGCGACCCTATGTATAAGAGCCCTAAACCCTGCTCTATTCTGTGCCAATCTCACTGTCTCTGACACACCCACTTCCATTACCCCAGTCACTGAATCAATCCACCTCGTAGAGGGCCTTCCCCTTCTGTGCTGTCCCTCCACCCTCCCAAGCATGATGTCCCTCTCCAAGGACTGGATCCTCCTTGCAGCATGTCCAAAGTATGTCAGACGAAGCCTCAGAATCCTTGCCTACTCAACATATATTCTGAGAAGACAATCCAAGAAATTGAAATCTATGAGGAAGAATGTGGCATTAAGATGGAATAAGGATCGCTAACAACCTGTAGGATTAACATGACACAACCTGGCTTGCTGAAAATAAAGATCTGAAGTATTTAACCAATGAAGCTCAAAGATTAAAGCCTTTAGTTTGGATTACAACTCAGTGAAGATAAAACAAAAATCTTTGTGAATGGATCAGTAAAAACCATCATGATAAATGGAGAAAAGACTGAAGTCAAGGATTTTTTTTCACTTGGATCTGTAATCAGCATTCATGGGAGCAATAGTCAGAACACCAAACACTGGGCAAATCAGCTTCCAAGGACATCTTTAAATACTAAAGAGCAAGGACGTCACTGTAAGAAGGACATCATGATTGCTCCATTCAATAACGGGTCCTCAAAAAGGAGGAATGAGACGAATTGACCCAGTGGCTGCAGCATTGCGCTCAGAGCAACAGTTAGTTGTAAACCTGACACAACTGAAGTTCTCCTGGGCAGAACTTCATTCTATTATACAGAGAGTAGCTATGAGCTGGAACTGATTTGACAGCATGTAACAACAGCAATATTATCAATATTACCCTACGAACCTGGAGAAAGGATGAATGTTACGCACGCAAGTGTCGAGGACTTTTGTTCATAGGGTCGTTATGAGTTGCCTATGACTCAACGGCATTCAACCACAACAACAACTTCTTTTTTTTAACTAAAAAAGAAAATGCATTTGGAAACATCTTCTTAAGGAAAAACAGTGGATAAGTCCTTTTTAAAAAATAATAATAATCTTATCTTGTAAATAAAGTCCATGGGTGATATAATGGTCAGTGAGCTTGCCTGCTAACTGAAGGGTTGGAAATTCAAGTTCACCCCAAGGCAACTACTTAGGAAAAAAGACTGGTGATCTACTTCTGAAAAGCTAACTATTAAAAACCCCACAGAGCACTGTCCACTGTCCATCCCTGACACAAATGGGTTTGCCATGATATGGTGTTGACTTGATGGCCAAACAACCAACAAATCTTTTTCAATATCTGTGGAATTCTTAGAACTCACCTTGGTGGTTTGTTGTTATATGTTGTAGTTAAAAACATCATTCATGAAGAAGTCTCAAAATATGACAACCAGTACCGGTGCAAAGAGCTTCCTGGCTTCGTTAACTATAAGACGTTTGAGACCATCGTGAGGCAATACATCCAACAGCTGATAGACCCAGCTCTGAACATGCTCCAGAAAGTCGCAGGTAAGGACCCTTCCCATGTGATCATCCCATGACTTCTATAGATCTTAATGCCTTGCAGAGAGGAATGGAAACTCAGTCAGCAAGTATAGTTGGCAAGTTTTCCTCTCCCTGTTTGCTTCATGGTTATTCTTTGTGAGCCAATGACCTGCAGCATCAGCCTCACCTGGGGGCAGGTCAGAAACCTAGAGTGGTACTCATCGTAACAAAGGCTTCAGGGAGCATGAAGGCAAGTGGAGGGGTGGAAAGGAAGCTTTATGCTGGAGTGCTGTAGAAGCTTTCATTTGATGGTCTCTTCATTCTTGGGGGGCGAGAGTGCATTTGGCCTTTGTCTGTTATTATACAAAACCCTGGAAGCAGCCAGGTGGGGAAGAAGCAGATGCTGACCCGGGAACAGCAGGAAGCTAGAGCACAAGCTCAGTGGTGGGTGGTGCTTACAGGATTCTCTTTCCTTAGAAAGAGCTTCCTTCCTCTTCTCTCTTAATCTATATCTGGGAGGCTCAGCCTGGGGCTGGGCTCGACATAGTAGGACTCATTTTCTTTGTACATTTCACCCGTTTTTACTTTTGCTTGATTTTGTTCTTTTCTGTTGCCAGAAACTGTCCAACAAGCTTTCAGTGATACAACCAAGAAGCATTTTTGTGAATTTTTCAACCTTAATTCAACCATCCAGGTAAGCATTCGTTCATCACTTGATAGCCATTGGTTGGTACTGCTGACTGCTTTCCCTTTGAAGGAAGTAGGGCATTCACTGTGGTTTGGCAGCATGAGTCCAGGGCGCTAGTTGAGGATTTGCCGGGTAGGCCTCATTGCCTCAGTTAGTCTTCCTTTCCTGGAAGAAGTGAAGTCAGGTGTGTGACTTCTTTTTCTTTTCTGGAAACCTTTATGGAGCAGGGTAGGATGCAGCAGACTTGGCACCTATGCCCTAAAAGATAATAATGCCTAATGATTAGCACTCCGGTGGTGTAGTACACAGGAAGTTGCACTGCTAACCTTAAGGCAGCACTCTCTGGGGGATCGAATCCACCAGCAGCTCCAAGAGGGAAAGATGGACAATCTCCTCCCATGTGATTTATGGCCTCAGAACCCCTGTGAAGTGTCAGCTATGAGTCAGTTCTGACACAACACAATGGGTTAATGACTGGTTGGAGTGTTGGATGATGCCTCTGACCGAAAGGTTGACATCCTCCCAGAGGCACCTCAGAAGCAAGGGCTGATGATCTGTTTCTGAGAAACCATCTGCCACCCAAGCATATGCATACCCATGTTTATTGCGGCTTTGTTCACAATAGCAAAGAATCAAAAACAATCCAAGTTTCCATAAACAAACAAATAGATACAATGGATACTACGCTGCATTGAAAAACAAGGAATTCATGCAATATCATACAAAATGGGTGACCCTGGAGGACTTTATGCTGAGCGAAATATCTCAGGCACAAGAGGACAAATATTGCATAGTGCCACTGTTGTAAAACAGGACTGACACAGAGGTTTAGAGGAGACTGAGAAGGAGAGGATAAATAATGTATACTTGCCTTGACAGAGGTGAGGGAGAGACCGTTTAAAAAACTGTTTAAAGGGGATATATGATTAGGTATTATTGTCACGGCAGGAGTCTAGAAAAACGGCTACATAGTGGAGTGGACTTGAGGGGAGGGTTTGTATAACAATGAAAGAATTTTTCTTTTACTTTTAAAAAAGAGCAAATTGAGGGGGAGGGGTGGGTAGGGAGAAAAGTGCAACAGTGAATGAATGGAAATCCAAAGTCTCTGTAAACTTTCATTAATTTTTTTTTAAAAAAACAAAACAACCAAAACCAAACAAACAAAAATAAAAACCAAAAACCAAACCACCAGCCACTGGAAACTCTGTGGAGCATGTTCCACTGCAGGTCAGAGCTGGCTCCAAGGCAGCTGGAACAACTAGCTGATCGTTTCCAAACAAAAGGGCAGCAGTATTGGCTTCGAATTTGTCTTGTCCCAGCTCTGCAGCTCTCTGCTCAGCACTTCTCCACTGACGTCTCTCTTGAAATCACTATCTGAAAGTCTTGAGGCTTATTGTTTTTATCATCGTTGTTGTTGTTGTTGCTGTGTACCGTCAAGTCTGAACCGACCCATAGCCAAACCTTTGGCGAGTTTTCAGAGGCAGTTCAGGAGGAGATTGCCCATCCTTCCGCGGAGCAGGTGGTGGCCTCGAACGGCAGCTTCTTGCCACTAGGCCACCAGAGCTATTTTACAGTAGATCCATTTTAATTTGAGGTTGGACACAATTGTATTTCTATAACCGTGCTTAAATAGAAAGGGAATGAAAAAAAATGTGTTCATATTTCTTATTTCACCAGAACATGATCGAAGAACTAAAAATGAAGGAAATAAAAACAGCAGAAGAGCTGGTCCAGCTTCAGTTCAAAATGGAGCTTCAGGTTTTTTGTCAAGATCAGATTTACAGCAAGATTCTCAAGAAAGTCCGAGAAGAAATATTTAACCCACTGGGAAATCCTCCACAGATGTTGCCGGCCAGGCGGTTAGATCTTTTTGACACCAGTGCAAATAATTCTCCAAATCCTTCAAATTCTTCCATCACTGAAATCAGTATACACCTGAATGCCTATTTCTTGGTGAGTTCTCAGAGGCATGGAATTAGTGTGGTTGCTATTTGGCATGTAGATACTGGGGTCTTCCTACGGAGAATTGTTTAGCTGAAGGAAAAGGAAAGGCTTGTTCATTTTAAATGCTATGCACAAAATGGAAAACTAATAAAAGCAAAATAGAGTAGACTTCAAGACACACTAACCATCTTTGCTATAATTTTACTTTCTTTGATGTTCTGAAGGCTCTCAGCTCTTAAAGTGCCTTGAACTCACCAGTTTCACAAAACAGGGGCTAAAGTCCTTTTGCCTACTTTTTTCTGTGGTTTCAAAGCCCTCATCCAGTGGCTAATAGATTAGAAAGACAAAGGAAAATAGCCCTTAAGCTGTGAAGATGCTTAACCCTAAAGCTCTTTCTCAAGAAGCAGAGTTATCAGGGGAGAATGGACATAGTAAAGGGAATGAGACAGACCTGGGAGCGCAGCCCCATTTACCTCCCAGAAGGAAAACAAGAATCATGAGCCCCCTGGTCTCAGAGGAGGGAAAGAATGTCAGGGAGGCCCCTGGGATGATTGAAATTGTGAAGGGTAAAGGTGGTGTGGGATCTGCTAACCTGCCAGGTGGGCCCTTGGTGACAGAGGGGATCTCGGTAGTAAAAGGTGGGCAGCCAGATGGAAGTGCCACATGGTTAGATACTTTCATTGTTTTGCTAAAGCTGGGAGCTTTGGTGCTGTTGTCCGTGGGGAGTTGTGCTCCCAACCCCAAAGCTACACATCTCTGGTCATTCTAATCCACAAGTCACCCCTCAAGAGAAAGATGAGCTCTGAAAGCCTGCTGGAGAGTCAGCTAGGAAATGGTTTCTACTCAATGCCAATGAGTTGAGTTGAACTGAAGGCTGCCGTGATGAAACTGGTGGCTTAGTGGTAAGGAATTAACACTGTGATGTGGTTCAAATCCAACAGCTGCTCTGTGGGAGAAAGTTGGGCAATTTTCTCCCATCTTTCTCCCTTCACATCAAAGTGCAATTTACTGCCTTTGAAAACCCACTAGAGGGTCAGCTATGTGTCTGTTCTGACTCTATAGTACATAACAATAACAACACAGTGAAACATCACTTATAAGATCTTCTTGTTGTTAAGTACCATCAAGTTGGAACTGTTGTTGTTGTTGTTGTTAGGTGCCGTCGAGTCACAGACGACTCATAGAGACCCTCGGAACGAAAGGCCTGAGCACTGTTCATACATAGTTTCCGTAGGCAAGCCATTTCGGAAGTGGACGCTGCTCCTGCTTCCAGAAGTCAGAACTAGAGGTAGTTAATAGAATGGGAGGAGATTGCCCACCTTTCTTCTACGGAGAAGCTGGTGGATTCAAACCATGTGCCTTCAGGATTGTAGTGCAGCTTCTTGCCACTAGGCTATCAGAACTCCCTTATGAGATCTGAGCATGGTGTACATGGTATATTAACTTTAAGATTACCTATTAACCTAAAGATTGGCAATTGAAAACCACCTGGTGGCACTAAAGAAGGAAGTGACTGACCATCTACTTCCATAAGGATTGCAGCCAAGAGAGCCTGATGGAGCAGTTTCACTCTGTGGCACATGGGTGGCCATCAGTTGCCATCAAGCAACAGGCCTGTGGACACCAAGTTCAATCTCTGTTATCCATAGTTTATTATGATCTACACAGAAATCACAGGCTCTGAGCTGAGACCTCTCCACTAACCCTTCTTAACCTCCTCTTCCAGGAAACCAGCAAGCGTCTTGCCAACCAGATCCCCATCATAATTCAGTACTTCCTGCTCCAAGACAACGGCGATTGCCTGCAGAAGTCCATCATGCAGCTATTACAGGTCAAAGACCACTACACCTGGCTGCTGGAGGAGCAAAAAGAGACGGCCACCAGGAGGAAGTTCCTCAAGGAGAAGATTTACCGGCTGTCGCAGGCTCGGCACACACTCAATCACTTCTCCATTTAAAGGGAGCGAGGCCTGGAGGACAGTGAGGCTTTTGTGTGCTTTCTTGAGTGCTTGCTTAGACTGTGAGGAAAGGTGGTAATGAGAAGCTGCTTTGCATCTAGGGTCAGATTTTTCTGTTGCTCTCTGCATCTGCCTTCTCCATAATATACTCATTCTGGAAGTCACCCTGACAAGAGACCTGGCCACTTAACTGTCACCTATGTGGGGGAAAACACTCCAGATTCCTATATATTCTATAGAAACCTTTTTATTAAGTCTTAAACAGGTCAGTCATCTTGGAAGACAGAAACAGCCAGCACGCCCACAGTACAGAGGTTCAAACAGTCTGCCCATTCACAGCCAGGGTTTCCATGTATATGAAAGAGAACAAAGGAAAAATGTTAATATTATTGACAAGAGGTCAATCCATCACTGTCACAGGTGGAACTGATAAGTTGGGAAAGGGCTGTGAGCAGGATACATACATAATTGCAGGTCAAAAGGTGGTACAGGCTTGGCTCTGGGGTTTTGATTACCTGGCTACGTTATGGTCAGAGAATGAATCATGACCATTCTGTCGTGTTAGAATCACCAGGGCGCCAACTTTTCTCTTAAATGAGTTAGTTAAATATTGTCAGTAAATTATTAGGAGCATACCAAGACCCCAGGCCAGTTCCCCATTCTCTGTGTAAACTTAAGGGCAAACTGCTCCTTGCTGGGCTTGCCCCAGAATCCTCTAAGCAGGGACATGTTGCTGGTTTAATGACCAGGAAGCATCGAGAAAGTAGCATAAAGAATTTCAGTGGCATCTGAGTTATGTGAACACTCAAAATGGAGATAGCTCTCTTGCTGACTACAGCTGCCACAAACCAAGTGCTTTAACATTTAAGCTCTAATGCACACCAGGAAGCTCTGGTGACCTAGTGGTGAAAAACTGCACTCCTATCCTAAAGGTTCACAGTTCAAATCCACCAGCTGCTACATGGAAGAGGGCTGGACAATCTCCTCTGGAAACCTGATGGAAGGTCAGTTAAGGGTCAGTTCCAACACAATGGTACAAAACAACAAACAAATGCACACCAGGAAGTCTTCCCTGTCATAAACAGATGGCAGGGGTCCCTGTAAGCACACCATTATAGCACCATCAGACATAGCCGTAATTCATTTGCCATTTTCTTCAGTCATAATCTAGGACTTTGGAGTCACCAAGAGCTGTGTCATATTATTCTTCTTTATTTCAGACTCTTACTGGCACTTGGCACATACACACAAACCCTAAAAGAACAACAACAAAAAAAGACCCCAGTTGCCAGGGAGTTGACTCTGACTCATGTCAGTAGAAATGGTGTTCCTTTCATGGTGTGACCTTTAGAGATCATAAGGCCTTTCTACAGAGGTGCCTCTGGATGTGTTTAAATGACCAGCCTTTCCCTAGCGAATAGTAAACCATTAGTCAATATTGCATCAGTGAGTTAATGAGTGTTGGTAAGAGGTAGGGGTCACCCAATGCTATCACTTAACCCGACTTTGGCTGTTCACAATAGTGTACCGGGGCTGGTCACTTTCAGAAGAATCCAGTTCTATTATCTGCTTCCCACTGGGCCTGTAGTCATGCTCCCCAGCCTATCAGGAGAAATGATTCCCAGTGACACCATGTCTTCCTTGCACTGTTTCAAGACTGAAATGAATGCCCATTGCTATGTTAAATCCTGATGAAAAAAATGCATATAATTTTAAATAATATGGGGCTTAATGGGCTGACACTCAGCCATAAAAAGAAATGTCTTGATATATGTCACTATATGAAGGAACGCTGTAAACAGCATGCTGACTGAAATAAGTCAGTTGTAGAGGAACAAATTCTGTGGCCCTGTACTTACATAAAATAGACAATACACAGAAAGCAAACATTGCTGGCAGTTACCAGCGATGGGAAGGAGGAAAGAAGGAGGCTGCTTAGTGGGTACTGAGTTTATGTAAGTGGTTTTGAAATTATTTGGGAAACTACGAGAAGAATACTTGTACAACTTTAGGAATCAATAATCAATGTCACCAAATTATGTATGCAGATAGTGCTAAATTGGCACAGGTTTTGTTATATGTCTTTTAATACCAATAAAAATGTTATCAAGAAAAAGCAAAATAGAAAAATACCATACTGATAAAAAATTACCAAGGAAAAACACTAATCTTTCTATGCTGGGATTTCTTTTCTTATTCACACTTTTCTCTATTTTTCCAAAGAATGAGCATGAATTACTTAATAAAAAGTTAGTATAATAGAGCTCTGGTGGCCTAGTGGCAAGAAGCTGTGTTACAATACTGAAGGCACAAGAAAAAAAAATACTGAAGGCACATGGTTCAAATCCACCAGATGCTCTGCTAGCAGATGATCTCCTCCTGTGCCAGTTGGATCCGATTCGACAGTACACAACAAGGGAGGGGGGAAGGCAATATAATTATTCTGCTTTTCTGTCATACAAGCTTATGTTACTTTTCCAATTTTTCAATTGAGTGAAGTTTTACAAATCATATTGATTTTTCATACAAGTCATTGACAGACAGTTTGTCTTATAACTTTACTTATTGTGGTAACTATTCTTTAAGTGCTTAATGTCTGTGCTGAGGTTACTGGTGGTTCCGTGGTGCGCTAGAAGGAAGAGACCCCGGGGTCTCACATGCTCATTATTGTTTTTATTGTGTGCCATCAAGTCGACTATGACTCATAGCGACCCTATGAACAGCAGCTTGTAACCATGCCCTATTTTGTGACATCCTCACCATCTCCAATACACTTGAGCTCATTGTCACAATCATTGTAGCAATCCATCTCACTTTTGTGGACTCTCCACCTTTCCAAGCTTAATATCCTTCTCCAAGTCTGCCCCCCCCCCCTTAACAATATCCCAAAGTATGTGACTCAAGAGTTTTGTTATTCCTTGTCTCCAAGGAGTACCTCGGCTTCACTTTCTCCAGGAAAGACCTGTTTATTCCCTTGGCAGTCCGTGGAATATCCAATATTCTTCTCCAACAATACAACTCAAAGGCATAGATTCTTCTTCTGCCATCCTTACTGATTGTTCAATTTTCGGATACCAAATAATTGAAAAGATCATAGCTTGGATCTGGTTGGAGACCCTTAATTAAACTTTGAATGGAACAAAGATAAATCTCAAATGAGGGAAATCAGCAACAAGATGCCAAGAGTCCACCCAGTCACATCAATGGCTTCGGTTTACGTGACAAGAACAAAGGAACACTCATTGCAGGAAATCTGCTTTCCAAATTGCAGGTTTTTCCTCCCACTAGCAAGAATGACAAAGTGAAAGACCAGAACTTTCCACATGGGCAAGGAATTTATTAGAGACAGCTTTTGCAAGGGACAAGACAGGACCTCTCAGCCACTGCCATGTGTCTCTCCATATAAAGGAGAGGGCAGTTTTCTGTTTCGAAAGTTCTAAGGCAAGAAAATGACATCATGTTTATTCGTGACAGGAGGTTGAGGTTTCAGACTATAGAACCAAAGACAAGACCTGAATTGGGTTACTTACATAACTGCAGACTAAAAGGGTTATAGGACTGGTTCTGAACTTCAACTGTCTGAACCTAGCCTCCAGGACCTCAAGTTTTCACTTAAACTATACCTGGTGGCCCCACAGTAAGGAGTTGTGCTGCCAACCCAAAGGTACGGTTGAAATCCACCAACCGCTCCATAGTAGGAAGATAGACAATCTCCCACATGACTAACTGCCTCTGAAAACCAGCTGAAGGATCAACTATGGGTCAGTTCTAATTCTACAGTATACAATAACGAACAACAACAGATGGCATTGCTATTTGGGGTAAGTGACTAAGGACTCACACATACTAACATCCTTCTGGTAGTCTCTGCTTTCACTCAAGACTCATCTGACATAAGCAAGTATATCTCTTATAACACTGCCTCTTCTGAATTCAGCTTGAATTTCTAGCAATTTCCTATTCATATACTATTCCAGTTATTTTTTAATGATCTTCAACAAGATTTTACTGAGATGTGATATTAATGATATTGTTCAATAATCCCTACATTCTGTTGGATCAGTTTTTATTGGAATGGGAGCAAATATGCATCTCTTCCCATTAATTGAACAAATAGTCTCCCAAATATCTTGATACAGGCTAATGAGCATGTCCAGGATTACAAATGTTTGTGCAAACATATTAATTGGCATTTCATCAATTCTTGAGGCTTTCTTTTTTTGCCAATGCCTTCAATGTAGGTTGGCCTTGCTCCTTCAATAGCATTTGTTCTTGATCATATACTACTTCCTGAAATGGTTCAATGTCAACCAATTCTTTTTGGTTCAATAACTCTGTGTATTTCTTCTATCTTCTCTTGATGCTTCTTGCATCATTTAAGATTTTACACATAAAATCCTTCAGTATTTCAACTTGAGGCTTGAATGTGTTTTTTCACCTTGAGAAATTTTCCATGTGTATGTATATAAATATATATGAGTTGACTATGAAAAACAGATCTGAAACTTGTCTCATCCTCACAGTCTCCATCATGCTCAAGCCATTGTGCGATGCATCTTATTAAAGGTCTTTATCTCTTTCTCCAATCTTCTACCTTTCCCAGAAGATTGGACCTTCCTGACTATATATCTATATATCTCCATCTCTCTATCTCTATCATCTATCTATAACTATCTATCCCGCCAGACTGGGGAACGCGCTAGAGGGACCCGGAAGAGACCCAGGAAGAGCAGCCGGGGGAACGCACGCGACCGCCAGCCGGGGGAACGCACACTGCCGCCCGCCAGACTGGGGGAACGCCGCCTCCAGCCGGGGGAACGCAC